TTGGCCAAAAATTTTCATTCTAATCCTAATCTGCGACATTAAATATGATTAGAAATAAAAATTTCAGATCAAATACTTGCACGTCGTCGAGCGGTATTAACGTCCCCATCGATGCCAGTTTCGGGTGCGGCTGTCGATTCCAATCAACCGCCTGCGTACTCGCAAAATCAGAAAGTTTATGGATCTGTGTAGCTAGTTAATTAAAGGGACACAAAGTTCCCATATTGTCGCCATCGGAGCTTTTTGGTTTTTCATATATTTTTCTTATGAAAAATTAGTTGTTAATAACTACAATAATTTACACAATCCTTATTATCTAATATATTACATATGAATGCTTTGCAAATAAATAATCGTGATTTCTCTTGCTAAAATATAAATTTTGCAACTCATGTAATCTACAAAATTATCATTGAGTGTGCATCCTTTTTAGATTATTTGCGTCTTATAACACTTTTCATATATTTTTTCGATAAACAAACAGTCAAAGCCAATCTGAAAAGTTCTTCATATTACGTAAACATATCATAATCAATATCTTCAGCTCTTATACGGATTCGTTTGCTTCTTGATTTATTATTTGACGCGCTTTCATCCCGTTCAGGTACACTCGCTATACTTGATGAATTTATATTGTCATTGTTATTATCATTCGCACCCTCATTAACGCTAACATTATTCGTGCCACTATCTTTAGATTTATATTTTTTGCGTGGTGGATCACGAATCAATCGTTTGATTCGTTTTCGTTTTATTGTGTGACTCCGCAAGTTGTTGTGATTTTTAGTAGAATTTAATTGGTTGTTCAGAAAAATTCGAAGATTGTCATTGATAATATCTTCTTCTTCCCTTGGATCGAGTATTATTTGATTATTGTTTGTTTCTGCCGTGTAAGAAGTTCCTTTTTCGTCTTTGGGAATATTATCATCGTTAGATTTTTCTATTTCATTGATAATGTCTTTATTATCATTTTCTTCCTCCTCCTCTTCCTCTTCTTCGTCATCGTCGTCATCCTCATCTTCAGCAACACTTACATTGTCATCATCATTTACTAAAGGTGTTCGCCTTGATAAGCCCCCATGTAATTCACGAGTATCTTTATCTAGCACGTCACCTTTAGAAGACTGTTCCTTTTTCGGTCGTCCTTTCTTCGCTCGTACTTGAGCACAAGACATTTCAAAAATATTAGTTGAGGACGATGATATTATAGAAGGTGCAGCTGTATTTACCGACATTTCAATATATTCACATAGTTCGTCGTCAGGACAATCTTTCTCACATAGTTCCCTATCATTGAGATGATTATTATTGATAGTGCCTCGTCGATTCTGGTATACCCAAGCTTGCAAAACTCCAGACGATGCATCTAATAGTTGTTCGTCGGGATATTTTTCGGATAGTAAAAGTTCTTTGAGAAATTGTAATTCTTCGTCGTAAGGATCATCGGTAACACCATCATCAACTCTTTCATCTAAGGTCACTACTACTTCTTGCTGATGATCTCGTTCCTTTCCAATATCGTCAACTAGAATTATTTGTTGATGCTGATCTTGTTCCTTTTCAATATCGTCAACTACAATTATTTGTTGTTGTTGATCTTGAAAATCTATTCGCACGTCATCATCATCAATTACTACTATTTGCTGTTGTTGCTGTAGTTGATCTTTTGAAACCTGTTGCCCAATACTTAAGGTTGATGGTTCTAAACCGACAAGTTTCCTAGCCCTTTGAATTTTTTCTAATCTCAGTGTTTTTTGTTGCCGAGATCGGACAATAGATGGCACTTCTACTTGATCCCAAGATCTTGCAATATTCGGCAGCTCAGGCGGAAAAAATTTTATCAAGTCATTTATATATAAATATGACCTGAATGGATCGTCTTTGGCGAGATAAGCAAAATGAATTTTTTGTACCTGCTGATTCATATGATAACGAATTTCCTTATATCTACTCAGCATAATACGATCAGGCCTAATGTCAAATGCGCAAGCGACAAACTCTTCGACCATTTTGTGATTAGTTACCCTTTCCGTAACCGAAGGTTTCTCGGTCGCCTCTATCGCGTAGAGAAGAATAGCAGCAGTCATGGGAATTGGATTCCGACCAGTGATAAACCCTGCATTCGACGCATATTCCAATAAGTAATACGCCGTCCCGATCAAAACTTTTCGATAAAGCTCCATAATCTCGGGGAGATTATTCACTAATATACAGTTCCCCGCGGTAATATTCGCACAATTCTCACTATGCCTTAAATAAATCGCTTGCGGGAACGTGTTAACTTCGCGATACAGGTGCATCAAATCTTTAGTGTACAATGGCAAATGGTGGATAACATCTTCGTGAAACATCGCTTCGATGCTCCCGGCTAACAACGATTCCATACTCACATTGGGGCTTTCAAGCTTCATCCCGAGCACTTTTATCATGTGGCGCGCCAAACTGTTGATATCTCCGGGAGAAATTTTGGTGGTCTTACCAATGTCGTAGAGTGTCACTGCCAATTTTCGTTCTCTTATTGTAATGTATGCAGCTGCAGCTATGGCGTAATCTAGTTCTCGACCGAGTTTCAAATGATTTTTGCTGTCGTATTGCAAGACTAACGACCAGACGTGCTCCTGAAGAGACATTATCCCTAGTGCCCCGCAAGTCATCTTCAAAAAATGCGTACGAGGAAGACTTGGCTTATTTAGTCGTGCCCCCGAGAAAACATGGCTCATTTTTTTCCCGTTCATAATAGTGTCATTGCCTAATACGAAACCTTCGTTAATAAAGTTCCTGGCTTCGCGTGCCTTATTTTGCATGCCTATTTGGTCGTATGGCTCTGTCACTACTATCTCGGAAAAAACAAGACCGCATTTGGTGCAGCAATTTCTTCCGGCATCGTCTTCTTCTCTTGCGTCTCTTGGATGTTCGCAAGACATTAGTTATTATGTAAATCAGTATTTGATCTGAAATTTTTATTTCTAATCATATTTAATGTCGCAGATTAGGATTAGAATGAAAATTTTTGGCCAA